CCACTGCACACTTCAGGAAAGCGGGCAAGGCCTTTGACTGGTGGGGCTGGGTTGGGAAGATGTTCCTCACCAGGGCTTTTTTTGTAGAAAAAGCCCAGCAGGAACTCATTAGCATAATAGGCCACACCCAACAGCAGAAACTCATTAGCCTATTAGGCTACACCCCTGACAGCACAGCTCATTAGCATATTAGGCCATGCCCCCATGTTGCCAGAAGTGTGGTCATCCAGCCACACCCACCTTTTGCTTCTTATTCTGTTTACTTTGTTGTCAAAACCCTGGGCTTTTTTTGTAGCAGGAACTTCTTCGCATGTTAGGCCAATCCTAATGAGTTTTTGTTGTTAGCTGTGGCCTATTATGCTAATGAGTTCCTGCTGGGCATGGCCAGCTCAGGAGTCAGCCGGAACTCCGTTCCTGTGCGTTCCTGCCCAAAAATAGCCCTGTTCCTCACCTTGAAACAGCCACCACCGGAGGAAAAGGTGTAAGTGTCAGAACCCACAACCAACAACGAAGTACACGCATTCAGGAACGGTTATACTTTTATTGCAGAGCTATAGATGCAGTAACACAGGCACTATTAAGAATGGCGGCGGCCCCATGGGCATAATAGGCTATAGGGTATTCATATGCAAACACCCCCCCCCCACAGCACTGGCCAATTAGGCACCCTCCTGCGCGCGGGATAAGGCTTAGAGACCGTTAGGTAGCTGAAGCGGAGAACGAACACTCTCCCACGACACCTAAGGAAAACCCAGACACCACAACACCCTCCTGCACATCTGTATAGATAAGCCTTTCGGCACACAGCAAAGACAGCACAGAAAGGAATGCAGTAGCAATTAACCTGAAAGGAAAGCAATAGCAATGAACCAGACACAGACCAAACTCCCCAACCTTCATGGCAGCATAGCTGACAGTAAGCTGCGAGTTTCCCTGAGTTGAGGCCTCATGCCAGGGATGGACATAAATGTGGCTTTTCTGGTTGATGGCATTTGTGAATGTGGCTCCCCTTAAGCCACGGAGTGAGTACCACTGGTAGGAATGCCAGGCCAGATTTAGCACTACAGCCTGATGTGACTACAGATCAATGTTCCCTCTAAACTGCGGAGTCTTGTGAGCAAAAAATCTACTTTGTGAGCGACTGGCATTAAAGTTGTGAGCGAGAGATTTGGCTCCTGCATAAATCAGTTTGCTCTGGAGCCCTCCCTTCCTGAGCTGAGAAAAAAATGTGTGAGCCGGAGGCTAAAAAACTGTGAGCTAGCTCACACTAACTCAGCTTAGAGGGAACACTGCTACAGATTGATGTTACTGGGTTAATATCGTTCCTTTTAACCTTACCTTCCCTCAGTTTCCATTTCCTATTATTGACTCCCAGTTGAGTGAACAGGAGAAACTTAACATGGCTGCTTGGTTGCTGTGTATTCTTGAGGAGAGAACTTCTACACCAGCGGAGACACACACAGAACAGCTACATCTAATTCCACAGTGCTAGCCCCTATGTGGACAATGAAGTTTGTATAATAGGACACACAGGCTTGCGTGAGAGAGGGCCCTGCATATCTAGGGCAGCCTCCAGGTTTGCAGAAAACCGACACTACTTCTGTTACTCACTAAATCAGAACCACCCCTCTCTCCAGGGATTCCTGCTGTGTGTATATGTGTCTGGGAAACATTACAGACCCATAACATTGCAAAGGCTATCAGAATAATACCTGAAAACTCATGCAAGTGGGTGCCGTTTTGGAGTGCCTTAGACACCAAGGCTTCCAGTTCTTGGTGTTTCACAGGGCACAGAACCAATGTTCTTCGTTAAGGATTAGGCCTAAAGTGGACCTCTGGTGCTTGGTTGAGGCTGAGGGCACTGAATTCTGCAGACGAGCTCTGTGGCTGCATACCTCGATGCCTGTCGAGTTGCTGTGCCAACCCAAAATGGGATCAAAAGCCTCGTGAGGCCATCTTTCAAATCATTGGGTGCCATTTTGGGTTTCCATACCCACCCAGCCGGATACCAAGGATGACACATGGAAGATGGACCAAGAAGGGGAAACAGGAGGGAAAAGGTTATGTGCATCCTGCCGTATGCTTGACTGGTACAGTGACTGGGATCCATGGAAGTCACTTGAAGAATCTCATGAACACATGAAGTGGCACTATTCTGAATCACGCCATTGGTCAGTCAAGGTCAGCAGGGCTATTTTGGGGCAGGAACGCACAGGAACGGAGTTCCGGCTGGCTCCCGAGTTGGCCACGCCCAGCAGGAGCTCATTAGCATAATAGGCCACACCCAACAGCAGGAACTCATTAGGATTGGCTACATTAGGGGTGTGTGGCCTAACATGCAAAGGAGTTCCTGCTACAAAAAAGGCCCTGGGT